AGAAGAGATGAAGAGATGAAGAGGAGAAGAGATGAAGAAGTGAAGAGGTGAAGAAGTGAAGAGGAGAAGAGGTGAAGAAGTGAAGAGGAGAAGAGGTGAAGAAGTGAAGAGGAGAAGAGGTGAAGAAGTGAAGAGGAGAAGAGGTGAAGAAGTGAAGAGATGAAGAGATGAAGAGGAGAAGTGACGAAGAGACGAAGAGATGGAGAAGTGAATGTCTTCATTTCTTTCATGTCTTTGATTCTTTCATGTCTTTGATTCTTTCATGTCTTTGATGTCTGCTTCAGCTCATGTGGATTTAATGAAGTAAATGTGATTGTGATTCTTTTCTCAGACGAACTGATCAAATTAAAACACGAGTCTTTGTCACTCGGACTCTTCAAGTTTTGATTGAAGGACCCAGGTTGTTTAATTTCTGGTCATGTGGTTGAAGGCGGATCCTGGTGGAAAACCAGGAGGCTGATGGGAGTTTTTGTGCGGGGGGTGAACACACACTTACTGTGGCCTTTGGAAAGAACGTCGTCGCTGTTGTCCTGAGGTCGGCGGAGCAGAGAGAACAACGAGGAGAGAACAACCACAAGAACATAAAGTTACTGAGTTACAGCGACAGACAGAGAGAGCAGAGGGAACGCAGCCGCTCATCAGGGCAGCAGGGCGGCCATTTTACCTCCGAGAGGAGGGACGCGTGTCCGCCAAATATTCTGCCTTCTCAGCCCAGATGTTTTCAGTGACGCCACCAGGGGGGGCTCTGGGGTCGTGTTCTTTTTCATCAGTTGATCTGACACACATTTCAGCCAGGCCCTGTTGCCGTGACAACTGACGTTCGCAGCATGCCGCCACCAGCTGACCTCTCTTCCTGTCGCCGACCAGTCGCCTTACAGACAAACCGTTAAGCTCCTCCCCATCCCCCCCGCCGCGCTGGTACTTACGGTCGACATCGCTGGTCTCCTGCTCGCTCGCCTCTTTGCTCTTGTAGAACGGAAACTTTCGGGAAAAGAGGTTCTTTTTACGCTTGTCATTGAGAGACTGCTGAGGAGGAAGAGGAGGAGGAGGAGGAGGAGGGTGATGGAATAAAAAAAGAGGGGGAAGAGGGGGAGATGTGGGAGATGAGGGAGTCTGATGTGGGTTTGGACAGAACGAGAAGCTTCTGTCTGAGTCTGTGGTCAACGACAGCGTCGAACAAAACCAACGGCTGCACTCAACAAACAGGAAGTGAAGTATTAACATTTAGATAGTTTACTAACCAGACATCCGACAGGTGATAAAAACTCTTTAAAGGTTCAGTGTGTAGGATGTAGTGACCTCTAGTGGTGAAGTGTCATGTTGCAGCTGAACACCCCCCCTTCCAAACATCACAGAGAAGCTTCAGCTTCAGTTTCATCAAAACTCAAAAGGTTTAGTTTGTCCAGTCTGAGCTTCTGTAAAAAACATGGAGGCCTCCGTAGAGACCCTGATGTAAATATAGAGTCTGTCACACGCACACACACACAGACACACACACACACATACACACACACACCGATAGGAGAGGTGATCAGTTGCCTAAAGGCTTATTTGAGGAACTCCCTGATCTTTACTGCAGTCAGACATCTTCA